TTTCTACGCAGAACTCTAAATAAGCCCCACATTTAGAAGAAAAAATCTAGTATATTACTAAATATACAGTGATAGCTCTAAAAAAATATATATATAAACATGCACAAAACTATAGAATACACAACACGTTAAATATGTTTAAACAAAACATTTTCATTTAATGTACATCCACATGCATCTGTAGCCTACCTTAAATATAAAAAAGAGATAAATAAGCCATTTAATATTTTAAATATTTTGCATATATGCACAAATATACATTCTGTTTCAGTGAAAATCATAGTACGTGTTACACGTTAATGTACACTCTAAAAATGCTGGGTTGTTTCAACCCAACTTTGGGTCAAATATAGACTAACCCAACTTTTGGGTAAAAAAATGTAATTGAAAAATGTAATTTAATTTTAACAGTTGGGTTAGTCCATATTTGACCCAAAGTTGGGTTAAAACAACCCAGCATTTTTTACAGTGTATTTTACTTAAATTGCGTGTTATATGGGACATAAATTATGGTCAGACTACTGTTTTTATAGTAATATAATACACTATATTTGCAAACCATTTCAGAAATCTGGTAAGGCATGTGTAATGCAGGATCCAAATCAAAAAAAAAACAAAACCCGTCTCATTCCAAATAAACAAGTAGTTCCATCCTTGAGTTTTAAATGAAATCTCGCGAGAGGGCGGACGAGCAGAATGCGGAAACTGGTGTGCGATTGTCTGGCTGCGATATTAAAATTGAAACTGGATGATACAGTAGCGCTTTATAACATATAGAGACGACGATCTTTTTCTTCCGTTTAATTAAATATTACGATATTTACGTTATTTGTTGGTTTTGTTGAGCCATTTAGGCGGATTAAAACAGCTGTAAAGGATTTATTTTTAAATAAAAAAATGTTGAGAGAGATCTATACGCGTTTAGAAACTATTGAGGACCGAAGCGGTGGATAATGCATTATACACGACATACATTGTGACGGCCAGTCAACAAATTAAGGGTAAGGGAAATATTTTTTCTATACAAAGAAGCTGTTTAGTGTTTTGTATGTGTGCTACACACCACGTATAATGCCATACGTTAAGCTAGAGATCTGTCATCGGACAAAAACAGTGGATGGTGAATTCACGGAGAAACTTTTGGTAAAGAATCAAACTGCAGGTAGTATTTGAACCATACGCTATATATTACCTTGACAAAGTCAACATTGTACACTTATGTCAAACCATTTCTCAGACAGAGACGTTATTTTTCTCGATACGCTGACATTCTTGCTCCTAGAGCGGACTTGAGGCCCTTTGGGCGGTAAATATTGTTTTCTATACAGGTGAAGACAGGAGGTGTCTTCCACCAGGGGGCGACATACGGCTCAGTATAACGATTTCTATTGAGCAACACACACATCTCTATAAAAGTATTCTTTAACATCCTCATCTATAAATCAGAAATTGCTGTGATCAGCTCTTTCATATCAGCGCTGGGAAAAGTAACCTGCCGTCTAAAAGCCTTGAGAAGCGGTCAGGATAATAACTTGCATGAATAATCACACTGAGAAGCTTAAACAGCAACTGAATTGACACATTTAAGACTTATGAAGGGTCTCATAGGTCTACAATGTAGAGATAGAATTCTGCAAGTGGCACATAATGGAAAGTACCAACAAACAACACAAACCGACTATAATAAAAAGCATAACAATGAGTTCATGAACCATGTTCGCATGACATTTCGATTGTAAATTTTGTAAATAAATGTACATGCATGTGTTTTTCATGTTTATGGGTGATTTCAAGTGTCTTGCTGTATGATATGCTGTACTTAAAAATATAAAAAAATGTAAAAAATTCTTGTTCTTACATTACATTTAGTCATAGTGAATTTAAATTGAAAAACTAATTATTTAATGTATCCTCCAGACTGCACATGCAATACTTGTACTATATATATATATATACATATATATAATTAAAGAAAATAATTAATAGTCTAATAAAGTAAAAAAATAAAAATAAAAACGTTTAATAGTAGTAATACAGATTTTAAAGCCATGTCAGCTTCTTTATGGCAAAAACAAAGTTGAAAACTGTTGTTTAAATTAGGCTACTTACTTTTTTTTTAATGGAGTTTAGCATGTCACACACTACAGGACATTTTGAAGCAGTTTTTCCAATAGTCAGACCAATACTTAGGTTTGTAATTTAATGCCCTGCTATCTATTTTCAAGACGACAAACAGATTTAGTAACATTTTGTGTGTATTAATGCTAAATAGGGGTGAATAAATGACAAGATTAGGTTTTGGGGATCTATCCCTTTAAGTGTTTAGCTGTTTCCACACAAAAGCAGGTTGTTCAGCGTGCTGAGGCCTCAGAATGGCCTCTTGTCTTCGGTTACGTCTTTTTATGCTAACTTCCAAGGCTCCCACTGGGGGAAGGGCTCTTGAAAAACACTCATAACTGCCAAGCTTCAAAATCCCTTTCTTCCTTCCTGATAGGATCCTGATTAACAACAAAGATTGGCCACTTAGAAATTAAACTTTTACATCATAGAAAATCCTAACCACATTGTTGAAAATAGACCACAATTACAATTATATTAACTGATGATAAAACTGTAAGAGAAAACTTAATAGATTTTGCATTGAGGACAACAACTACACCATCTATCTCAATTCTTCACATCTAAAATTGTAGTAGTATTCCTGGTTAAAACATTGTTAAAGGGAAAGTTCACCTAAAATTTAAAATCATTTTTCTTTCTCACTCCTATGTCATTTTAAAACCTGTATGACATACATTCGTATTTAAAAATGTGTTTTATTCCTTTAAAATGCAAGTCAATAAGACCCAAAACAGCACAAATCTAGATGAAGGTTATTTAACAACATTTGTTTTTAGCTCAGCTGGCAGCATATGGCACTACAATGTCAAGGTCATGGTTTCGACTCCCAGGGAACAAAAAGATATGCACAGCAATATGGCCCTAGACATGCAACAACTTGCAATTGAGCTACAATACCTTTACATTTGCTCGAAGATTATCTCTCACAGTTTTTGTTGTATAAATAGTCTGTGTGATATTTTGATCTTGATGGTAAGGATAGTTGGTCAAAACATAAAAAAAGCATCTACACAATAACTGCACTACCATACTAAATTGTTCTACATAAGAATAAGTTCTTTAAAAAGAAAATTGTTCAATTCAGGTACTCAAATGATTTTGCGATTAATTTGATAAACCACGCATAGATGATGCATTATTCATTTGGCGAATGCTTTTATCTAAACTGACTGGTGTTGCTTTCAAATGTATACATTTGATCATCTCATGCATTCTCTGGGAATCGAACCAATGACCATGGCGTTGTTTTAATAAACAAAAATTGGAGCTTTAAATCAGCAGATTTATTTTTAGAAACACACATTTGTTAGTATATCATAGATTGATAAAAGAGAAGTGCAGGCCTAAGAAAACATTGCAATATTTTCCCAGTATCCACTGATGAAGAAAACCACAGCAAAACATCACAAACTCGCCACTCATTCCATTACAACCCAACAAAATCTTAGAAAATTCCTTTGCATAAGCATTCAGCAAGCTATAGCCTACTTCCACTTTTTAACCAAAGCAAGGTATTTATAAAGCGCGGTGGATAAAATCAACCACAGCAAAGTGTAAATGATTAATATTTCTTCAATGCCCCCATTATTAATAACGCATCAAGGCGAAACGCGATGTTGCGTTGTGAAATGCTACTTAGCCTAATTCATAACCCAAAATCATTGCAGAGTCAGTGTAGCGTGAATTAGCGCACCGGTTTCTATTCCATGTTAACTAATATCATTTCAGATAAACAGTTTAAAAATAGTATAACTTGATTAGAAAAATTAATATGTGAACACACCTGAACAAAAAACACATCCGGTTTGATGCATAGATAACCTAATGTTCCTCTTTCGCCCCCTTGTGTATTGAGGTTGTCAGACCTTTGCACGAGCTCGCTCGCATACTAGTTGTCATAGTGATTTATGATATCCTACTGGATGTTCACTGGAAGTACATTAATGTAAAGACATCTGTGCGCGTTCGATTAAAAAAAAAATCTGTGAAAATCATCAGCACGGCATATGCTAATAATATAGGCTAACTTAGGCTATGCATTTAACCCGACATATTCTTAACATAGACAATTATGTTTCATTTATAAATAATAATTATTTCTTAGTTATTGAATGAAAGTTTATTTTGCTTAGTATTAGTCCGCTATGCATCATATAGAATTAGAATGAACAAGGTTAACGTTTGCTATATATTATATTTTCATACAGATGCTTCAGCTTTAAATCTAGCTGTCTCATAGTACGACATAACAAAAATCCATGAAAAACTGG